TAATCCGTAATTATGTCCCCACTGGATGCAACAAATGCCTTGTTTATAATGGGTTTTAATATTTTTGTCTTGACGCTCCGGCCGGGACACGGCATCACAGTATGATAAGGGGTGTAACATTTCCGTCACACGCTTGAGGTATTTGGCCAATCACAACGCACTGGATAGCTGGCCAATCAGAGTCTTATGGGATTGAAACAACATGAAGACGAGTAAATGAATTGTCATTTTTGAACAAACTATCCCTTTAATGTTGTCTATCAGTTTCTCCAGCTATGTACTGTTATTAGTTTGAACCTCTTACTCTTTCAATAATCGATAGAAAAGCCATTAAAAAATTAACATCTATGAGGCCCAAGATTCCATAAGGGAATCAAGACCATAATACACCAAATAGAAAACTACTTATCTAGTTAAGTCCCCAAATGCACCACCTAAACATACATAATGAAATACAAGGACTTATGAGAATCCAACAATTGCAAAATCCCACATTGTAGCACATTTCTGCACAGGATTTTACAGCATATAATGTATATTATTTTATTGTAAAAATTAATGGGCTGAATCACGGGCTGAATTGTACTGAAGCGTAGGCTACACAAACAGTTTGTTTGTTTGTTTGTGTGCTTGTTAGTTAGTTAGTTAGTTTTAGTGAACCCCCAAGAACACTGTTCTTATATGTTATAATAATTATATAAGTTCATGTAGGGCTGTCAGTTTAACACATTAACTTAATTAATTAGTTATGAAAAAATAATGCAATTAAAATATTTTAACGCAGTTAACGCACTGGCCCCGCCTCCAGACCTGTACATCATCTTACATTTCATACAGATGGCGATGCATGGCAACAACTCCATAAATGCAGTTATGCCATAAAATTCAAGATATTGGGGCGAAAATGCTCCTGTATGAGTTTTTGTCTCACATGTTATCACACGTTTGTCCCGAATAGCACGAGTGCAAATGTGATTTTATTCAACAGTTCAGTAAATAATAAGTTGATATTGTGTTATATTTTAAACACAATATTGTCTGTTTTTGCTCAGTTTGGCCAACAAAAATATTACCTATAATAAAGCCACAGCAGAATTGTTGTGCATCTCCGAGGAACACAGCGGTGTTTAATTTCTGAATGAATCCGTGTTTTCAATGAATCGTGTGAATCAAATCAAACGTTTACTTTATTCCTGAATGAATCAGCCGTTGAACTCCTAAAGACATTTATCGCCACCTGCTGGCAGATTTAGTTTCTTATTTAGAGTATTATTTAATTAAAAAAGGGGGAAAAAACTTTAAAAGGATAGTTCACCCAGAAAACAAAAATGTCATCATTTACTCAAACCTGAATGACTTACTTTCTTTTGTGCAACATAAAAGAAGGTATTTTGAAGAATGTTGGTAACAAAAAAAAAAAACCTGAAATGTTTCTCAAATTATATTCTTTTATGTTCCATAGTTTATGTTAGGCAGTTGTAGCCTAAACGTTTATGTATAATAAATTTCACGTTGAATCAAATAAAATATTTATTTCTAAAGTTACTATTTGTAATGTCTACTTAATACTTTCTCATTTAACACAAAAATTGCTTGCAAATAAGCTTTTAAATAATCTTTTGGGGGTAATTTCACAGCCAAATGTAATTTGCGATTAATTCGATTAATTAATCGACACATCATGTAGTTAGATAAAAAATTTTAATCGACTGACAGCCCTAGTACAAATATATAGTCAATACATCTTTAGCTTGTAAACCATGGAACTATGGCTTTTCATGTTCATTTTCCCAATTTGCTTTGCATATAGCAACTATTTACCACATTACTAATCACTTCACATCCATCCATATTGGTTATCAGTTTTGAATTTGCTTTACTTTCAGTTAAGATGAATGAAAAACTGGTTGCACAGAAATAATTCAAGGAATGAGCTGTACTGCTTGTTTTGAAAAATCATAATTATAACAAATTAAATCAACTTCACAAGATATTAATTGGTGGAGTTGAGTCGATAGAGGATTGTGTAGATTACTTGTGGATTATTGTGATGTTTTTATCAGCTGTTTGAACTCTCATTCTGATGGCACCCATTCACTGCAGAGAATCCACTGGTGAGCAAGTAATATAATGCTAAATTTCTCCAAATTTCATTTGATTTTATCTTGACGGGTTTTGATTTTTTAATGCCTTGATAGATTAAATGAGTGTAGGTAAAGAGAACACAATGTATGTGACCGCACCAAAATATGACCCAAAACCAAATCCTGTACCAACTAACCCGCACTCTCCAACATGCTATAAATGTTTGGGAGAAATATTCAAACAGGTCAAAACACTGATCTATCTCGCTCACAGCACAGTGACCCAGTTAAAGCAAATCTTCACTTCTCAACTGGACACACATACAGAGACTTTCCTTTGAATTTTATTTTATTTTTATTCTGCACTAAATATATTTTTTATTTTAAATTTTAATTGGCATGAATATAATATTAAGGGAAGTCGTGGCCTAATGGTTAGAGAGTCGGACTCGTAACCCAAAGGTTGCGGGTTCGAGTCTCGTACCGGCAGGGATTGTAGGTGGGGGGAGTGAATGTACAGTGCTCTCTCCCACCTTCAATACCATGACTGAGGTGCCCTTGAGCAAGGCACCGAACCCCCAACTGCTCCCCGGGCGCCGCAGCATAAATGGCTGCCCACTGCTCTGGGTGTGTGTTCATGGTGTGTGTGTGTTCACTGCTGTGTGTGTGCACTTTGGATGGGTTAAATGCAGAGCACTAATTCCAAGTATGGGTCACCATACTTGGCCACATGTCATGTCATATAATAATTAAGCTTTCATTAAACTGTGGCTGCTCTCCACTGGAGACATTTAGCCCACATTCATTCACAATGTAGAAGAACAACAGGATCTCTGCAGTTGCTCTTCCAGCATTTTTAGGACCAGCAAGCCTCAGTCAGCATCTAAAATCAGACCGTGCTGCGGTGGACAGTTTTAATGCTCCTTTGCACCGGTTGATTTAAGACGCCTAGTGTGCAATATATGATCTCAACAAATGATTAGTCCCTATATTAGACGCTTTGGGATAGCGATGTTAGTTATTTCATGCAATTAAATGATGCATGTGCGGTTATGTCAGGAAACAGATGTGGTTTAAGCGTGTTAGGTGTGTTATAAAGACAATAGAGTGCTGCAATCTCGTGTAGAGCTGCAGTATCAATCAGCGCGCGCCTACACACTTCACTGCGTTACTGCTGGACACTCACCGTGCGCTTCATCACATCACACACACACACACACACACACTGTTCACAAAAGTAAAGGCAAAGTAGTGTGTAGGCTAGTCATTTAGCATATTTGACACATGCAATGCAAAAGTACATACAAAAATGTCTCAATATATGAGTAGAGGCCTATGGTTGTATGAAAACATTGTTTTTATGTGTTTTTAGATGCAAGGAAATCACTTTCAGTGCATGTGCAATCAGCAAATGTGCAAGGCTTTTCTTTCAACAAAATCATTGTTTCAATCATTTATGTAAAAGCTGCGTGAGAAAACAGTATTTTAAGACGCCAGCTTTCTAGATGAGATGTCGCCTTACCGTCGTAAGCCTGCGCGCTGTGGAACAAAAGTAGGAATATTGCTAAAGATGAGAGTTTAGTGCTCCGCATCCCTCCAGACGCATGTGTGCATGAGCATCTTCTCCTCCTCGCTCTCAGGATGCTCAATCTGTGCACATCTATCCAGGTTCCCTCTACACGACCAGCCATTTGTGTTTGCAGAGGAGGTGGCCCGGTGTCGGTACTGGACCAGACATCTGCTCAGATCCGTGAGTCAGTAGGACGTGCGGTGGTCACGCCGCTTCAAGTGCCAGAGGAGAGCCGCATTCGTGAAAATGCCCAAAGTCCACCATCACTGCGACACAGGGGAAGCGAGAGGGGGCTGCATTTTTGAATGGTTTATCTATTTCTCAAACTCCTTACCGCCCATAATGTGATCGGGTGTTGGAAAGGATGCATGCAATTCTTTGTCTGTTGTTCAGCAGTCTTGTGAGTGCTCGCATGCAGGGAAGCTGGAGCTGTATTAGTTTTGTACCATGCGCGTGCTCTAGTGGTCAGTATAGAATATTACTATTAGACTGATTTATAGTATAATCCACCAGTTTCTAATAAAAACAAACATACAAAAAACACTATGCAAACACTTTGTTCCAGGTCTGGATGCTGACTGGCTGCCTAAGCTCTTTTGGCTGTCTCAAGTGGCTATTTGCTTTTAAAAACGTTATAATAATACTAATATTAGGAATACACACTTTCATTTAATCGTTTTTATTAAGTAAAATCATTAGCTGTTCTTCTTACAACAGAAGATAATCCCCAACAACAAAGGTGCTACAAAATTAAAGATCCTATGGGTGCTACTTTGAGTAGGCGTTTTGTAATAGCTGTTGTTTTAGCACATTGAAAGTTGTACTGAATCAGGTGCCAGAATGTTATATATAACGATGAATCGCTTCCAAAATAAAAGTTTTTGTTTACATAATATGTGTATACTTATTATGTATATATAAATACAAACACATGCATGTGTGTTTTTAAGAAAAACATGTTATGTTTATATATTAATATAAAATATAAGAATATGAACACATAAATGTAGAAACATGTAAATATTTTCAAAATATAAACTGTACGTGTGTGTGTGTATTTATATATACATAACATACCTAACTCATGATACATAATTCATTAGAAAAAGAAAGAACACCCTGTTGAATTCCATGGTTTTCCATATCAGGACTTATTAAAAAATCATCTGGTCCTTGGCAGGGCTAAATAAATAGTGGCCCAGTGTGATATGCCATGTGTTTTTATTCATCTGAGGTTTAATTGTCCAAATTTGAAGACCTGGCAAGGAGCAGATGATTTTTATTATGTCCTGATACGGATATATATATATATATATATATACACACACTGTTAAAAATTGATTGTAATTTTACAGGAAATTCCTGGCAACTAATTGCCGTGAATTTACAGCAAGTAATATACAGGTAATATACTGTTTTTTAATACAATAAAGTACTGTATTTATACAGCAGTGCTACTGTGATTATAGTAGCATTACTGTATATATATATATATATACACACACACATGTATGTATGTATGTTTCTCATGCTAACAAAATCTTTATTTAATTAAAAGTATATAAAATGGTAATATAGTGAAATAAACTACTTAAAATAGCTCTTTTTCTATTTAGTTCAGTTATTCATACATTCTCTGATGCACAAACTTGAAAACACCATTGTTGTTTCTTGGCGTCATAGAGTGTTTCAGCTCTTTCAACAGACACCCTCTTCCAGGCGACCCGACCACGGTTGATCAAGCCTCAGCCTGTGTCTAAGTGGCATTTTGCGGTCACCACACGTCACCCCTTTGCAGCCATAGCCATCTTGATGCCCACTGTGCAGCCTCCATGCTGTTGCTGAAATGACCTAAAAAAAAAGCCCTTGGCAACCCACCTCCACTGGCATGCACCTGTTTTTTCACCCATTCCAGAAGTATGCCTCCAGCACTCCCTGTTCCATCCTCTCCTCCCAAGGCACAGTTATCTCCAGTAGGCTAAGCTGTTTCGTAGACTCCAAGACCAGGATGATGTCCGGTCTAAGTGTGGTCCAGTCAGGTGCTGTAGAGCAAGCCAACAGATTTTTTTTTTTTCTTATGGGCTACTCTTCATCCTTGACAAATGCAATCATCCTGGCTGTAGTGTTGGTATTTCTGCTCTTGCTGATCCCCTTGTTGATTGCCTCAGCTATGGTCTTGAGCACTTGGTCATGGCCATCGATCAGGGCCCGGGATCAGCTTCTCAAGGGTGCATTTCCCAAAACCATCGTTAGCTAACTATAGTTGTTAGTTCCTCTGAACTCTATTGGTAATGATGGAACTTGCGACCATAGTTGCTTTTGGGAAACGCACCCCAGGATGTGTTCAAGAGGGCCTGTCTTGGAACACAGGGGGCATGCTGGAGTGTATACCTTGCCCTATGCAAACAGGTTGGCTGGGCTAGGGAGGACATCGTACACCCCCTGAAACAAAATTTTAATCTTCTAAAGGTTCTATTTCCATATGTCTATCCAGGTGTACTTCCTCTCCACTGGCTGCTCCCATTTCATCCAGGCACCCAGTATCCTCATTGCTGCAACCCTGCTTGCTCGTTCTTCCTCCAATGATGTACACACCTCTTCCTGCACTAGCCTCGACCTTTCCTTCTCACTCGCAGTGCTGCATTGGTTTGGTGTTGGTTTACTTTCCATTTCTTCAACACTAAAGACCAGGATTATGGAAGTTTAAAACTTATACGCCCCTAAGACATGAGCTTCTCTAACCCCTCTAGGATCCGCCAGGCTCCAGACACTGTTGTTGTCACTGTGAGGTCCTCCATGAAGGCTCTAATAGGGGACTGCCTCTGGACTCCATCTCTGCTAACTTGATCAACATGTTCATTGTCGGCATAAAGAGAATCGTCGAAATGGTGCACCCAGTCATGATTTCTACTTCAATTTTAATATATTTTAAAATGTAATTTATTCCTGTGATGGTAAAGCTGAATTTTCAGCAGCCATTATTCCAGTCTTCACATCCTTCAGAAATCATTCTGATATATATATATATATATATATATATATAGAGAGAGAGAGAGAGAGAGAGAGAGAGAGAGAGATTATAGATTTTGATGAACACTGCATGAAAAGACTGCATTCTTAAGCCTTTTAATAAACAAATAAATGATTTCTGAAGGATCATGGGACACTGAAGACTGAAGTAATGGCTGCTGAAAATGTAGCTTTG